GGGGGTCTTGCTAACTTTTTGCCAGGCTGACCTTGAACCACAATCATCCTAATCTCCTCCTCCAATGTACCTGGGATTACAAGCATGGGTCACCATACTTGGCCATATACTAAAGTTTTGAGATTTACTGTTTTATTGTTTTTCTTCACAATATGCCTAATCCTTAATTTCTATTTGAGTTTGGTAAGTATCTCCAAATTTACATATTTTCTCTTGTAACTAAAGAGAAAAACTACTCCTAGTATTTGGTTACTAATATTCTAGTAACAAACAGAATAATTATGAATAAAACAGAGAGTTTAATCATGAAGCACTATAAGCTGATTAAACTTATATAGCTATGAGAACATTTCAAACACCAAAAGCATTCTACTTACATCAGATAATCTATAACACAAAGATGTAAATTCTGACTGACAATATGGAAACATAATTAAATATCATAAATTTTTATATGCTTCCATCAAATCAGTTGAAATCTCAATACATAATCAATACTAAACCAAACCATCCGGATGAAGAATACAGTCTTAGCATGAATTTTTACTAATTTATTCTGCAATCTCCAATATTATTAAGCCACTATTTATGTCTCTGTGCCTGTGAATGGATTAGGTTGTCATTCTGCTTTCAATTTAACAAAACAAACTCAACCATTTGGTATCATTTAATCTTCTTTCCACTCATTCATTCTATTCATGGGGCCTCTATTATATATCTAATAATATTGAAAGAACTATTGCTCTTCTATGTGCAAAGCAGCTTTTTACAACCTGGCTGTTGAGGTCATGAAAAATGTCAAAGTAAAAGAAGTTGTTTTCCAGCTTTACCTCACCCTTCATTTTGCTACTGTCATTTCCATTTCAACTCACACCCTTCCATACAACCATGGGCAACTCACTAAAATTCTAGGCACATTTTGAACAAAATTTACCTAAGAATTCTAAATGCTATTTCAGTGTGATGAGCAGAGGCATGTGACAATAGCCATTAATAATTTAATCTATTATCTTAGAAAAGCAATCAAGTTTTAAAAGGGTTATTTTACTTAAAACAGTAATCCTTTAACAAGTAGCAATTGTTGGACTAAAGGGTAAATCCACTTAAGCTCAGTGGTACAGCACATTTGCCTAGCATGCATACATGTGTGAGAGCTTGGGGTTCCATTCCCAGCGCCAGAAAAGAAAAAAGAAAAAAAAAAAAAAAAAAAAAGAAGAAGAAGAAAAAAAACAAAAATGAAGCAGCACCAATTTTTTTTTTTTTTTCTGTTTGACTTTTAAACTGAAATTATTTAGGAGCAAAGCCTTAAGAAAGAATCTAGGGAACTGAACCAGTGTAGGCTTAAAGGAAGGTATGTGGCTCCTGGCCTTGGTTTTTTCCTTAAATAGCTATATGCTATTTATGTTCTCAGAAAATAGTCATAGTTAACACTTACTTAGTACCTAGCAAATTCCAGATATGGTTTTATTTGTTCTAAAGGTTAATTCTTTTCCTCCTCAATGTAACGCTATGAGATAAGTGTCCATTCTACAGATGACAGGTTAAGTATCTTTCCAGACTTCCACCGCTTCTAACAGACAAAACTCTACTTTGAACAAATGCAACTGGCTCCAGAGTCAAAGAATACAATCAGACTATCACAGTGCATACCTAATCCAAGACACAGAATTATTGTAAAACTTAAATAAGATATAAAAGTGCTCTGAAAGGAACATTCTATTCCTTACATTAAAATAATATTAATCTATAAAAGTGACAAAAATTAAAAAGGTTTCAAGCACACTGGTGAGCAAAGGCAGTATTGTTTTTCTTCAGCTTATTCTTCCTAGATATAGCAAATCACATCTATGAGTTAAATAAATAATTCAATAATAAATAAATAATATAAAAAATAAATTGTTTATACATTTAGTTATTTTTAAAATTTATTTTACACTGCTGGTGGTTAAATTGCTGTATACGTTGTCTTCCAAATTATCTGGTATCAATAGTCTGATATTAGCACACCAATAAAAAAATAAAGAGTTATTAGAAGGAAATGTTTTGGGGCTGTGGGAGTGGCTCAAGTGGTAGAGCACCTGCCCAGCAAGTGTAAGGCCCTGAGTTCAAACCCCAGTGCCACCAAAAAAAAAAAAAACCAAAAAACGAAATTTAAAAGGAAATGTTTCACATAAAATGCTGCTAGTTAAAATGATGCAAATTGACCTTTATTTAGATGATGACTCCTCACATAAAAATTAAATATTCAGGCTGGGGATATAGCTCGCTGGTGGAACACTAGCACACACAAGGCCCTGGATTCAATTTACAGCATGGCATAAAATAATTAAGTAATTAAAAGTAAAAATCTTAGCAAATTCAAAATGATACAGTTTGGTTAGTGCCTTACTAGAAAACACAGTAATGAAAAATCTTAACTGCTTAATACTGGAAATCTGCATTCTACATGAATTTCATTCATTCCAACCTGTTTGTTCTTCCAAAATGATAATTTTTGTCTCTGTCTAATAAAAATGATCAAGACTGTTTACGCCAACAGCTTAATAAAATATAGGCAAACTTCAATTTTATATATCTACCTGTAACTTACAAATTTCCTCTACCAAAAAGGCCTGTGGCTGAGGATACAGTTTCATGGTAGAGAGCTTGACTACCATGCACAAAGTCGGGTTCGATCCTAGGCACCATTTTTTTTTTAAAGCCTTTAGTCTCAAGTCTTTGTTTATAGCAACTCCTCACTATCTCGCTATGTATTTAATCAAAACAAAACTATATCATTACCAGTACAATTCTCCCTAAAAAATTTACTTTCTAGAGACTGCCACCTCCAAAAAAACAAAACAAAACAAAAAAACACTAAGTTGGGCTGGAATCATGGCTCAAATGGTAGAGCACCTGCCTAGTAAGCACAAGGCCCCAAGTTCAAATCCCTGCTATTGCCCCAAAAAAAAAAAAAAAGCACTAAATTGACTAAACTTATTAACATTTCTTAAAACTGAATGTGGTGTTACTTGAAGGCTGAGGCAGGAGAATCACGGGTTTGAGACTAGCCTGGGCTGCCTGGCAAAATCCTATCTTAAAAAACAAACAAAAATTATTGTAAATAACATATATATAACAAAAACATAACTTTAAAAAATGAATCAGTACTCCACTGCAGTGTTACTACTCTTAATGGCATTAATTCACTTTTGTTTTGGTGGTACTAGGGTTTTAACTCAGGGCCTTGTGCTTGCTAGGCAGGCATTCTACCACTTAAGCCACACTACAGCCCTAATACACATTTTTTTTTTTTAAAGTTCATGTTTCTCTCTAATTTGATTTCTAATTTTTCCTTTGTACATTGGTTTTTCTTTTCTGCTTCTTCTTTTGCAGTACTGACATTTGAACTCAGGGCCTACACCTTGAGCTACTCTGCCAGTCCTTTTCTGTGATTTTTTTTTTTTCAAGATAGGGTCTCTCGAACTATTTGCCTGGGCTGGCTTTGAACAGAGATCCTCCTGATCTCTGCCTCCTGAGTAGCTAGGATTACAGGTGTGAGCCACTGGCACCCAGCTGTACAGTGGTTTTTTCCTAAACCAGATTCACTTCTGGTGTTATTTACCTCTAGTTGCTTGAGTTTCCTCCCATTCAAATTTAAAGCAAATAGTAGTTACTATAATTTTATCTACCAGTTTCTTCTTGTTTTATTTATTTTTTTCAAAGTATTATTCTTCTAAGTAGTATATGACTCTGCCCATTTCCAATTAAAACTGAAAAACCTTAACTACATTAACTTTTAGTATAGCAAAAGATTAAATATGGGTTTCCTAAACTAAAACTAGACATAAATTTAGAAAAATAAGACACTTTTATACCAAAACCTTCAGAAACAAAATAAGAAATGTAACTCTAAAATTTTATTTTAGGTGCCTACAAATAAAATGCAAAATAAAAAATACAACTTATTGATGTATTATAACAAGAGAGCCAAATTACTTAATGGTTGGATTGAATGATCTATGAACCAAATTAAATAATAATAATTTAATTCACCAATCTATATAATGGAGCCATAGTTTCTTAAGCAAATGAACACCTTCATAAAAGTGTGTTCTTACTTTATTGTATATTTTTCTTGTGAGCAAATGATAACTTAGACTAAGTGCTTTATGTAAAATTCCACATAAGGTCTTCAAAAATGATCAAATAGCCTTGCAAAAACAATCCTAAACTATGTAGGCATTAAATTATGTTTACCTTTGCATGAAAAACAAACATTCATACAAAGCAAATAATTTTTATTATGTTTTTTCAAAATGTGTTAATCAAATAAAAAATAAATAGGATTGGAACTGGGAGTGTAGTTCAGTTGCACAACACTTGCATAGCATGCATTGGATTTGGTCCCCCCAAAATAAAAACAAATAGGATTAACGTGTCCTCTTGCAGCAATTATTTGGAGCATTAATCCTCACCTGGCCTCTTTATAACATAAAGTAAATCAGAGACTATAAGGGAGTAATCAGTAAATAATAGTAAGTAATAATGAGCCAGCAGCTGCTATTGTTATTGTTGTTCTATAATCAATAGTTGCTGCGTTTGAGGAAACAGTGTATTTTGCTTGTTTCTAAACTATTAGGTGCCCCATGAGGTACATTATGACTAAAAGGTAAAGAAATCTTACAAAGAATTTCAATGCATGTTTTATAAAGAATGTAATTTTTTGAACCGGCATAACAATACAGATTTTATTTTCTGGTTTTTTTTTTTTTTTTTTCACTTTTTCTGCTTCACATTCTTTCATGAATACTAATACAAAAAAAAAGTTACATTCACAGAAAAGTAAAATTTAGGAGATCCCTGGAATATTATGTGATTCAATGAAAAAGGAAATAAGGTACACATGGTTATTTAGGATGTAAAACTCTAAACATAATACACATAAATCAAAAATAGGTTATACAAATTGCACTTGTAAAAAATGAAAAGAAATTAAATTTAATTAATAATGAACTTACCCAATTTTTGTCTTTTCTTTTAACTTAGAACAAGTTTTTGTTTTTTTGTTGTCTTTGTCCTTTGGCTTAGATTTCATTCTTCTACCTTTCTTTTCCTCTTTTCCTTCAACTGAGGCAGTAGGAAAGTTTTCAGGGCTCATTACTCTTGGAATATTGCGCTCCCCACGTTCCTTTGCTCTTGCTATGGCCTCTGATATTATACGGTTAGCTTTTTCTTGCTTGCTTTCTGATTCCACCTTTTTTCTCTGCTTCTTCTCAGACATGACCCTCACCTGGGTATTCTGCAACTTAGTATATGTCCCAGAACCATCACTCTTCTTGGAAGATGGAGGCTAGGGAAATCAAAATATTTTTTAATAGAATACACCAAAACGCATTAAAAACAACTGATGTAAATATCTGAATATTTTAAGCTTAAACAGAGAAAACTGTTTAAATATGTAAGTGCTACAAATTTAAAATTGAGACATTTTGCCTATCTAGAAATTAGTATAGGAATAAACAGCTCAACTGCTATACTGAAAACAAAGATTTAGAAAGAATATAGATTCATTGACACTTCATAGCATTCTTGGTTAGTTGATTCAGATTTCGTCCTGTAAATATAGTTGATTTAAATTTTATTACTGTTGGGATAAAAGTCTTTTCTCGTTACTCTGAAAATCATTAGTAAATTTAAAGTAGCAATTTTAATTTAGAATTATTACTCCTTTATACTTTATTATGAGTTTTGGAAAAACAAACTGCCTGCTTTAAAACTAGGAAGAGAACCTGAAATCATTCAAATTATTTTAATGAAGCAACATAGCTAGTTAGTAAACATTCTCAAACTTAAAATTAGAGGAAGTTTTAGTTTTTTGCATGTAAGAGTTAAATGTGGATTTTTTTTCTTTTTCTGTATCATAATTATTTTGCTCAAGCAATTTGGTAAAGAAACAACTTTTATAGTTTTATATTACAATTACTAATATTTTAGCAATATCACAGGAAGCAGATCAAGAGCATTTTTAAAAGAATTTCTCTTTAAACACACATTCATCCACATATACTTAGATCACAGTTTTGTTATGTTCTTACCCGTAAACATGCCTCTGACTATAGCAAAGAAAAAAAACATCAGGAATTTCCAAACACATTTTCATGCTGATTCCAGTGTACTTCACTGAATATCTTTTCTATACCTGCCTCATCAAAGGTTTCATAGCAGTGCTGCAGCACTGGGAAAGGATGGAAGGCTTAGAATCCCTTGCTAAAATGCCACCTCAAGGCCTACAGGCTATAACAAATAACCAAGACTCGAGAAAACAGCAACAAGCTCAAGATGGCGATGCAGTACGACTCCCGCAGCAGCAGCCAGTAATAAGGAAGGTTATTCAATCCCATTAGCCTTTTAGCCCAAAGAACCCCTCCTCCTCCCACTCATTCAGGCTTTCACTTACCCTTCCTCTTGGCCTCTTCACTGAAGACATTTTTGGCGTCAGACAAAGGCTTGCCCTCTGCTTTTTCACCACCCCAGGCAGTGCTCAAGAAAAAAGCATTGAAAGAAGATTCCTAAATGGCCTATTTAGCAAGCTGCAACCAAGAGATGCACAACCCTCCACAAATACACATTTTGATTTATCAACACATTCTTGCCTTGGCAAGTTTATATCTACTGTTCATCCTGTTTAGGTATGATAAAGGCTGTAAAGGCTCCTAAAAAGCTGAGTTTCCTCAATAGCTATAAGCAGATAGCCAGATTCCAACAAAGCACAGAAAGAAATGAATGCACAAAGCATCAAAATGCATCAGCATGAATATTAGAGATGTCGTTAAAAATACTGACTCCTTCTGCGGAAGTAGGCCAGCAGATGGTGCTACCAGTTATTATTCCATTAGACTCTGCAATTTAACCCACGATGGACTGCTGTTCCCTCCATGTAACACATTAACTCTCACTCTGCCATTTCCTGCAATTTTCAAAAACCATACATAAAAATCTGATTAAAAAAATCACCTGGAAACTGAAAAATAGTGAAATAACTTATGTAGTTATCCATATGTTTAAAACTACAATGCAATGTTTGTTGCAGAAAAATATTTTTCTCCATGAAACTCTAAAATATTTGAAATACTGAAAGTAGCTGAAGAATAGGACATGTAAATGAACACTTAACAAGTAACTTTAAAAATTGGTTAGACTCTTAAGATTCTTCCAACAAAATAACTGGTATTTTAAAAAGAGAGATGAAGCTACTTTAATCTGCATGATACCTTAAATTATTTTTTTATCAAAAAAAGTCATAAAATTTTTCTGAACTTTACTCTTCATACCCTATTTTAACTACTGAACTTTTCAGATAAAATTTTAGGCTTACTTTCTTGCTAAAAATAAATAACTATCCTGTCCACTTGAATATGACCACTGATATAACTTTTCCTCCTCAAAAAAGTTAGTAAGCAATGTCCTTAAATACCTAAAACAAAACGCTTCAAAGTTCATGTTTATCTTTTTTATTAATGGCATTTTTTCTAGTTGTTCTTGGCTAGTTATCTGATAAGAGTTATCAAAGCTCACTGTTTTTGTTTTTGTTTTCCTTTTGGGCACCAAAGGTCACAAAACAGAGAAACACTATCTGAACAGTGTCCTAGAAAGATCAATCCGGTCATTGTAAGAGATTAAAGGAGAGGGTCAAAAGTAGCAAGGAAAGATCTTACTGACTTGAGAAAGCACTGATGGAAAACCCATTAACATTAATAAGAGCTAACATAGAGTTAGTACTTACTAAGTGCCAGACACAATTCTAAGCATGTAATTAGCCAACATGCATTAACTAAATGTGTATAAAACTAAGTATGTATTAACTAATTTAATCCTGAATGCACAAGAAGCAATAACAGTGATAAAGGAAAGGAGGAGGTGGGCCAATGGAAGAGGATACTCTTAAAGACGCATTATAAAATGATAGAAGGGACATAAGAGAGCAAACGATTACAAAAATGATATCAATAAGAGCTAAAACTTGGTTCTTATTTTGTGTCAGATACTATCCCTAATACTTCACATATATTATTCCAGTTAGTATTCAAAACAACTCTATGAGATACGTACTACTGTTATTTTATATATTAGGGTACTAAGGCACAGAAGTGATTTGCCCAATATTCCACAGATTCTGAAGAGTGCAGCAGAAATTAAAACACAAAGACAGCCTTATTATGGTGACCACATTTGGCTCAAACACTGCAATTTATAGGGATCAGTTTAGATACAAAACAAAGTGAGTGACTTTCTCAAAACTACAGATATGGTAGTAATAAAGCTCCAAATGAAATTGTTTTTCAGTGCCCTTTCAAATAAGTAGAAATCAACTAGATATAGGCAGAACAGTTGAGGATCAGAAAGATGTAGTATTTGGTTTCTAGGTCAAGTACTGGTTGGTGCAAGAGAAGGTAAAAGAAATAGAAAATCTAATTGAGAAATGTGTGCTAAGTTTAATTTGTTTCTTGTTGAGTATGAAATGGAGAAGTGTAGCAATTAGAAATTTGGGATTAGATCCCAAACAGTAGTCAGGGCTGATATATAAGAATTCTGGGGCTGGGAGTGTAGCTCAGTGGTAGAGCCCCTGCCTAGCAGTATGAGGCTGAGTTTGATCTCTACCATACCCAAAAAAAAATTGTAATAATACTAGTATTTCCTCTATTGTTCTCTTTCATTGCCCTTAACTCCTGACACTATTCACAGACTCTAGGAGAATTTCTAAAATATCTCACTTCTTCTAGAAAGAATTCTTTTCAATAGTTACTTTCTATGACCTGACTCAAAATCCCAACTGTTTTAACAATAAACCTTAGCAGTAAACAACAGTGAATATGTGATCAAATACTATTTCTGCTATTGGAATACAATATTTATAATCTATATTCTCAATGAACATAGTTTAATCTAATTCTAAACATCAAGTGTTAGTTATTTCCCAATTCACACACAGACACAAATATAAAATGTCATAGTTTTTCTGTCCCTTTCCTTCATCCATGCAATAATCAAATTCTGTCAAATCTACTTAATTATATTTTGTTTTGTTTTTCTTTTCTCAGTCCCCAGAGCCTCTGTTGTATTAGTTTCCTACCTGTTATGTTGTGATTATGTAGGAATATGTCCTTATTTGTAGGAAATATACTAAAACCTTTTTTTTTTTGGAGGGGGGGAAGTCTGCAATCTACTCTTAAGTGGAGTAATATAAAAAAATTTCACAATTTTTCTGTGAGTTTGTGATAGTCTGAAAATACAAGTTACTTAAAAATTTAAAATAAAGTCACAGACTTTATTTCCTGAAGAACTTATATGCAAAAAGATTAAAACTAGATACAAGGCATATTAATCTTATTTAAGTATTCATATAATAAGAAAAAGAAATCATAGCAAAACAGATGACATCATATGTGATACCTTATTTTGAGAGCAATTAAGAAGAAAATATGGGAAAACCTGGATACCATATTTCAGTACTGGGCAAACTCAAGGATTTATAGCAGCATTTTTTTTTTTTTTTTTAGGTCATGACCTAATACAGCAAGCCCGGATGAAAATTTACTAGGTCTAGACTAGCATTTAAAAATGAAATAAAACAAAATGGAAAGGATGGTGTCTAACCTTACAAATGCACTTCATAACTCTTAAGGAATTAGAAAGCTTTCATAACACCTGACATTCCCCTTTTCCTTCATAAGGGAAAGCAGGAAAGAGATTTGGGCTAAAAATTATGTTTTAAAATCTGAGTGTGAACTTAGTCATTTCCCTCTTGGTGAAATAATTTTCCCAACTACCTACTCACCCATGTTGGGGAATTTATCCATTTCAAATATTGTAGCTGCATACAACTAAGTAAAATTATTGAATCACTAGTGAGTGGATATGAGTAGAAATTATAAATTTCCAAAAACAGAAGGGAAGAAGGATCACATGGCAACTATATATCTAAATGAGAGATGTAGAGTTCCTCTAGATTGAGAATGGATAAAGATTCCACTTGACATATTTTTTAATTATTTTGTTTCTTTTTTTTTTTGAAACAATATGAAGACATAAACGATCTCAAGTACTAAACAGATAAAATTCCCTAGTAGAAATAAAACACAGAACAAAAAATTTTCAACAGCAAACATATTATGGCATTGTAGCTAAATATCTTCCAAACTTTCTCAAACGAGAGGGTTTTCAGGCGTCCAGCTTAAGGGACTCACAGATGGAGGTACCAAAGAAAGAGAATATAAAATAGAACAGACAGAGCAAGCCTTGAGTAAAGAGTGTGAGAGCTGAAGAAGTAGCTCAGTGGTACAGCAAGGATCTGGGTCTGATTCTCAACACCACTGGGGGAAAAAAAAAGTCTGACTGCCCAGAGAAACAATGTAGAGTAACAAAAGGGAAACAATCCAAAAACCCAAATACATCAAGTTTAAGGGACAAGCAGATGGAGAGAGGCTGACGAAGGGAAACAGAAAGAAAATGCAAGAACAGTATAGTCAGGAGAGAGTGGTGCCATGAAAGTGAACAGAAAAAAATTGGGCTGAGGATGTAGCTCAGCAGTAGAACACTTGACTAGCATGCATGAGATGTTTGGTTTTATCTCCAGTACTGCAAAAAAATCAAAAGCCTATGGTCAAAAGGAAAGTAAACATACATAATTATCTCATAATAATTTGTTGCTATAAAGGACAATTTATAAGGCATTTTAGTTCTCTTAAATTGGTTATAGTAAGTTTGTGTGCTAATTTTTAATATCCTGTTTGATAAATAGAAACATATTTACTTAAATATTCATATTAAAATCAATCTGTGAAATAACAGATTTGCAGTTAATTTAAGTAATATGTGTCACACATTAGTGATTCCTTCTGATTTTCTTCAAACTACCAATAAAGACTTGCTTTTAAAGAGGGGGGAAATGATCCAAGACCAAATTATAATATCTAAGTCTTTTACTAAGACTGTTTTTGTTTTTTGCAGTACTGAGGTTTGAACTCAGGGCTGGTGCTCTACCACTTGAGCCACTCTGCCAGCTTAGTATGAGTTTTGCCCATAGATTTATTTTCAGTTTTTGCCTCAAGTAGAGCGATTATTTTGCTTTGCTTTCTTCAAATGTATGAGCTGTCATGCTCACAAATTAAAAGGCTTAGATTCATCTTGTGACATGTAGTAGTAAAAACCCAGGTTTCCACTTTAGCTAACAATAACATTCCCTTCTTTTTCCAAGTATTATAATCTTGAATTTGCATTTTAAAGTACTGTCTATAGTTTAGCCATCAACATGCAGTTCAAGCAAATAAAAATCCCCTTTTTGGTGGGAGTGGGGTTTGAACTGAGGGCTTTGAGCTTGCAAAGCAGGTGCTATATCGCTTAAACCACACCTCTAGCCCACAAATAGGTATTTTAAAAGTTGTGGTTTTTGTTTAAAGGAATAAAAATTTATTATCTAACTTATAGGATACACAAGGGAGAGAGTCAATCAGCACAATCAAGAAGCAATCAGCAAAATGGGGATATAATGAACAAAGTACAGAATGTAGGAAACTGTATACAACAAATGACTCAATTTGAAATCATAAGAAACAAAACACAGAAAGGGGGAAACATAGATTAAAACAGACTTAATACTAATGTGAGTAACAAAATTTTAAGTGGGGGGCTGGGAAGAGATGTGCAATGTTTGGACCTTATTTATGTAATTACCTAAACAAGTCTACTATAAGCACTCATCTTAAACAACTG